AGGCTGGAGCCGCGGGGGGCCAGCCTGGGCCGCGCCTCTCCCCCCCACACTCCCCCTTACCTGCCACAGGCTTCCCGCGAATTAAATGTTCGCGGGATGCAGGGGAGGGGGCGGAGACTTTGGGGAGGGGGCGGAGTTGGGGCGGGGCCGGGGGCCCCGTGGAGTGTCCTCCATTTGGAGGCACAAAATATGGTAACCCTAGCTCCATAGCTCCTGAAAGTGATTTGAGATCCTTCTAATGTGTTTGCAGGATCAGCCTTTGAAACTCAAGTCTACAGAGGACCCGTAGGGCAGGTGACACCTGAAGCTGTGTGAAATGTCCTCAGCAAAAGCCAGGTCTGGCCTGCTTTCAGAGACCAGCCCAGGCTGGCTGGGAGGATCCTGGCCCATCTGAGTTAGAGCTGAGGGGGGGGCACTGAGGTTTCTGGCTCCACAAGTACCTGAAACTGAGGGTCAGGCTAGGAGCCCCCTGTTCTAGGCTACGGAGAGTTGTGTTGTGATCTCATGCTACTACGATGGCGTTTAATGGGCCCGGCCCTGCCTGGAGCAAGCCACCTCCTGCCAAGGGCCCAGCCACACGGCCGAGCTGGAGCTCAGAGTCCAGCCGGAGCGCCCCTCTCCCGTTACGCACTTTGCGTAGCCGTGTGGCTCCTCCGCGCTGGCTACGTCAGGCAGCCGCCGCATTCACCGTTCGGCAATAGCTCCCCCTACGCGGTCTGCGTAACTCGGGCCCTCTCGGCGTCCCTGAGCCTCGGGGTGGGGTTGAGCACCGAGCCGGCCTGAGGAGACGGGAGAGCGGGGAGGCGATGGCGGCTTAGCACGGTGCCTCCCTGACGGTTTGCGGGTGGAGACGCACGGTAGGACAAGGGACGGGTTGTTTCTGTCTGGCTCGGACCTGGACATGCGGGGTCCCCCAGCCCGGGGTCCAGGGGGAGCCCCCCTCACTGGGGTCCGAGCAGGGGGGCTCCCCTCCCCGGGGAGGCGGATCAGGGCGGGGAGTTGCCCTCACGCGCCTAGATCCAGAGGTGGCTCCCCCGCCCCCCACATTGGGGCTCGGGTTCAGACAGGGCTTCGCTGCCCCCCCATTCACCCCCCTAAGGGGAGTGGGGGTGCTGGAGCCCCCCCCGAGTCTGAACCCTTTGGGGGACCGTGCACTCTGCTGCCCCCGGCTAGTTACGCTAGGGGGCCACAGGGGAGCTGCTGCTGTCGGAGCAGGAGCCTGGACGGGGAATTCAGCATTAGTGTAAAAAGTTTTTGGAAAGGTGAGGGGGGAGATGGAGGAAATGGGACCCTCACTCCATATCACCCCCAGCCTTGCACCTGTTCAGTGAGTGATAACAGGTCACATGCACACAGCCTTCCTGCACCCTGGGTGGATCTGGTTTCTGGATCTAATCCTGTGTATAAGCAATCTTGTCCATGTGGGTGTTTAGGAGTCATAGGGTAAGAATTGTATTTGCACTGATGCATTCCCCACTCTCAGAGATCCACCATCTGCTTTACTGTGTCCCACAGTACGGCTCCACGTTTAACCATCTTCATGCTTTAATAAGAAGTGCTTTCTCCCCTGGAATCTTGCTGAAACACAGCCGCGGCCTGTCACTCCGTCTGGCTCCCTGCTACCTTCCCTTCAAGACACCTTAGAGCAGAACGGTGCAGAGCCTTGGTCTCTGCTCTCATCGCTACTCTCCCTTCACTCATTCCATGCCTCACACCTAACGTCTCCCTTTCTATTAATCTGTTAGTGCTTCCCTCCCTGGCCTCCTGTAGCAGGCATCTAGTCCTTTTTCCCTCCCTCCCCAAAATAAGTTTCCTTCATGTCAATTTCCTCCCCAGGGAAGTGCTGTGTGTTTTGTTTTGTTTTTAAATATTATTTTCTAACATCTTATCTAAAACAATATTTACACTTATTTTACTCAAATAAAAAGCTCGCACATAACTACACAGGAAACACTATAATAAACAAACAAAAACGGGGAGTCCGGTGGCACCTTAAACACTAACAGATTTACTTGGGCATAAGCTTTCGTGGGTAGAAAACCCACTACTACTTCTTGCATCTGAAGAAGTGGGTTTTTTACCCATGAAAGCTTATGCCCAAATAAATCTGCTAGTCTTTAAGGTGCCACCAGACTCCTTGTTGTTTTTGTGGATACAGACTAACACGGCTACCTCATGATACTATAATAAACACTATCACATATTTATGGATTAAATTATATCCAATTTAAGATCAGATATGGGTCCCCTATTGTCTTAAATGTCTCTGGTTGATCTCTGAAAGTGAAATTTACTCCTGTGAGGACCAGCACAAAGCTGAAGATAGACAAATTCAGACTTGGAATAAGTCATACATCTTTAACAGAGAGGGTAATTACAGTAATCATTGGAACAATTTACTATGGGATGTAGTAGATTTTCCATCATTGAAATTTTTAAATCAAGATTAGCCATCTTTCTAAAAACTTGATCTAGCTTGAACAGGCAGTTATAGGCTTGATACAGCTTCAATGGGTGAAGTACTGTGGCCTGAGCTATACATGAGGTCAGACTAGATTATCATAATGGTCTATTCTGGCCTTAAAATCTACGGAAGGTCTATGTACCATGTAAATCCCATTTGATCCCTATTCTGAGGGTTTAAATTAGATGTAAGTGTTCGTTGGCCTTTTGCTGGCCCTTTGTGCACCCCGAATGGAAAAAAAAGGCCTGATCTAAAGACCAGTGAGATCAGTGAGCTTTGCATGAGTTCCCAATAAAAATAATATCAATACTGTCAACCCCAAATGTTCAGATTTTGTGAGTCAGGCTGCAAAAATCATGAGTTTGTCTTTAAAATCATGAGTTTTTAAATAAAACAGACTTTGGATTGTTTTTATTTGCCTCTTGGGTTTTTGAACCCTTAGGGCTTCTTAGGTGTGGGCAGAGTGAAAGGGGAGTACAGTGAGATGCGAACAGAGACAGCAGGAGCTGAGTTGTACAGAGCCTTGATGGTGACTTTCTGGGGAAGGCAGTTGAGGGGTGTAATCAATGTCAGGTCTTTAGGATGCTGTGTGTTTTTAAGCTTTTTTCCGCAAGCATTAGTACTAGCAAAAACTTTTTTTTTAAAGAAAGCTGAGATTTTCCAGGTACTGTCCTGATTCCAGTACTCTGTGGTTTACATTAAGTATATGGCTCTGCAGCGGAATTCTTACATTATATTTGTATGTTTTATGTCGATGTATAATCCATTCTGAAAAGTAAATATTTATTGTGTGCTTCTGCGTCGTGGACCTAGATTATGCAAGCACTTAAACGTGTGTGTGACTTTACTCATATGAATAGTCCAGTGGAAGTTAATGAGAGAACTCATGTGCGTAAAGCTGCTTATGTTCATAAATGTTTTCAAGATTATGGCCTTAACCAGCTTTTCGAGAGGAAGGATGGGTCTAGTGGTTAGGGCACTGACTTGAGAGATCCAGGTTCAGTTCCCTGTTCTGCCACAGGCTTCCTGTGTGACCTTGGGCAAATCACTTAGCCTCTCTGTACCTCAGTTTACAAATGAGGATCATGACACTTCCCTGCCATGTAGGGGTGTTGTGAAGATAACAAATACATTAAAAAGTTTGTGAGGAACTTTAAGATCTACTGATGAAAGATAAGAGTTAGGTGGTGGTATAGCAAATTACAATCTTCCTCTGAATAAGATGTTTTTAATGTTGCATTGCATTTTTCTGTCAGCATCTGAAATAACTCTTGTGACTGCTGTATAAATTAGAATTTCCAAAATACCCATTTGAAGTTCCTTTAATTCATTTGTCCAAACTGCATTTACAGGAATAATAAGGCATTGGTATGAATAGTAAGAGCATCCACAGTTACATTAGATAAGATTAAAAAATATAAGGGATACAACCCGCATGGTTGAAGGGATAAGCCAATCACTAACTGCCTGAGGTTACAAAGACATTTCCCTTAATGGCAGTTTATTCTATAATTGCCCATTTCTGAGGTTTTTTCACTTTCCTCTGAAGCATCTGAGACTGCTAGAAAGAGGATAGTGGACTAAATGGTCTGTTGGTCTCATACGGTGTGTCAGTCTTTGCATTTCTACACATCCGGTAATAGCCGAGCGATAGAAATTGACAGCAGTGCTTTTGTTTTATCATTGAAAAAGGCATAACTATTCTCTTATCAAAGACCTCCATTAACCTTATTGTGCCTTTCCTCCTAAAGACTAAATCAGGGAAATCTAAATAAAATCTCCCTCATTCTGTTGACACCAGCAGAGCTCTTTTATGGCCACGTTTCAGGACAGCACCCCAATTTAAGAAAGTGCTCAATCCCATTGAAGTTTACACCATCTTAAAGTTACAAATGTACTTAAATAGGTTCCTAAATAGAAAGGGACTTACACGCTAAAGTGCTTTCCTGGACTGGGGCCCTTGTGATTAAAGATTACTTACATGAGTAAGGTTTTGCAGAGTCAAGCCCAATGCTAGGCAATCTGGAGGTATTATTTAATGGTCATGAAGAAGAATATGTTATCTGGTTGTAATTTTGTTTGTTAAATATGCTCCCCTGCTTTGCATTGAATCCATCATATGGTCACCTTGTGCTCTGTGTGTCTGTAATATTGTTTAGTGTATGTCTATTCTATCCTAATCTTGCAATCGGATCCATGTGGGCAGATCTTTGCTACCACATAGACCACACTGATTTCAGTGGTCAGAAAGTCTGCCCAGGCCAACCCAGTTGCAGGCCTTGAGCCTTTTACTGTAAACTGGTTGGGATTTCCTCCATGATCTGTACAGCTCTGAGCATGCTGTCAGCTCTTAGCAAATAATACGGTGAGAGATAGTACAGAGCCCCTCAATGCTACTCAGGTATTGTTGTGTGATGCAAGACAGTCCATCCCTCCAGCATCCGAGGTCCCTGCGTCCTATCTTCTAATCATTCCTGCTCCTTTTTTCTTGGGGAATGAGACTCAGAAACTAAAAGCTAGATTGTGGCTTCCTTTGCACCGATGCAACCCCACTGGGTTAATGAGATGGCTCAGGTGCATTTGAGGGTTCCAAGGATTTAAGCCGTTCTGCTGGTTGGCAGTTCCAAGCATCTATATTCTAGCATAGGAGCGAATGTGAAGCTAGTATGCCTGTGTTTGCTTTTCCACCGGTAGGGAACACTCCAGTGTTTTACAGCTGTGAAGCTTTAATGTAGGATTATTATTTCACTTTTTAAATAGGATTGCTGAAGTCATTATCTAAAATACAGCACCTTTCAAGACAACAAAGGGCACTTTATGTGAAAAGCTGCTGGTAAAAATTTTTCAAGTGACAGCTCAGATTATGGAAATGCTTTGGACTGTTGGATTACCTTGCTTGAGACAGGGGCACCTACTTCAGTGAAACAAGCCGAATATAATCCTCAGGATCTGAGCCTGCCTATGGGACCAATTTACTCCTGTTGGAGTCGGTGGCAAAATACCCAGGCCAAAATTTTCAAACTTAGCACCAAACTAAGTGGCCTGATTTTCAGAGGCGTTGAGTTCCTGCCCTGCGTGGATACAAAATCTGTATCCGCATCTGATCCATGATCTGCAAATGTGGTTCACGGGTATCTACAGATTTGATTTCAATAGCAGCAGGATGTGATTATCAGGTAGGCCAATATGTTGAATTTGACTAAACCAGATGTTGTTATTCCTGACACTGCACTTCAGAAAATCCAGCTGTTTCTAGATACCTATACATACACCTCTACCCCGATATAACGCTGTCCTCGGGAGCCAAAAAAATCTTACCGCGTTATAGGTGAAACCGCGTTTTATCGAACTTGCTTTGATCCGCCGGAGTATGCAGCCCCGCCCCCCCCGGAGCGCTGCTTTACCGCAGTATATCCGAATTCATGTTATATCGGGTTGCGTTATATCAGGGTAGAGGTGTACTTAGATATCTAACTGTGGGGTCCCACGCTCGAAAATTATCGCCCATAATATCACCTCAAAGCTCTGATTTGTGGATGGCAGAACACAGAGAATAGGGCTTCTTAGAATCTTAATAACTTTTCAGCAAATTCAACATCATTGGTGCGAAACTCCCAAATCCTTTTTTTAATGATCTGTTTGTTGAGTTTTATGGAATAAGGTTACGTACAAAGAAGCTATTGTAGAGTCATTTCTACAGTTGGTTGTACTGGTTACACTAGCAGGAAATAAAGATTAGATTGTGCAGATGACTGTACTACACACTAGAGTCAAGAATGAGGTAATCATAAATAGATTGAAAACAATGTGCAGAAACTTCCTGGACAAACAGGGGCTCCCCATATGAAGGAGGGGAGAGTGACTTTTAGTAATTGAGGGAGTACACTGAACTTTGTTCAGAATGGGAGCATTCGTGTTCCGGGAATGTATGTTCAGTCAAAAAATTAGCAGACACATTATATCTGGAATTAAATGTAAAGGTGAAAACACCTACTGTGCAATCCCAGCTTCTGCAGATGGCATTTCTCCCAGGATACTGTCTCTAGACCCTGCTCAGTTGCTCCATTTTTGGTGTCAGCCTATGGATAATAGTACCCTATAAATGTGACTCCCCACACCCTTCTAGTGGCTGGCAGGGAGAAGGAACTTTTTATCTCTTCAGAGACACCTGGATGCTATTTCGTCCCCCTGGAATCTTTCATTCTTAGGGTTTCCTGTAATACCCAGCATCATAATATCCTAGGAACTGCTCAGGAAAGTTAGGTCTGTATTAAATTCTCCAGAAGTTGCTAGTTTGGGCCCTTTCACTGGCCAAGAAAATCTTTGCTCTCACTGGGAGCAAGTGGATTTTTCCAGTCATTTGTTTGTTATAATAATATGCTCACATCTGCAAGTCTGTAGGGCTGATAACAGAAATGCCAAGCTATAGTTTGCAAAAACTGCTGGCACTTGAAATATGAGCTATTTCATGGGAACAATTTATTCAAGAAGTTGGAGTCAGGATGACACTTTAGGGGGATCAGACTCTAGCTAATGCTGTACAATAGATTTGTTTGCCCCAAAATAGAGCTTTGTGATTAGCTACATGATATGAAGTGTGCGGGTTTTGCTAAGCCTTACGCTAAATGGTGTGAGTGCGGTGGAGATCTGCAAGTCACATGTCCACATTTGAAAACCATGGCCGAACACGTGGCCTGGCATAGAGATGACAAGCTGCCTGAACTGATAGATCAGCAGCGTACAAGGAAAAGGATGTGAGGCAGTGAGACAAATAGGGACTTTTTTATCATTGGAGATTTCATAGAAAACTGTTAGCGAGTGAGGAAGGTTTAGCTCCCTTCTTCAGAGTTATAGCTTAACCTAGTAAGTGCTGACTCGGTGCCGACCCAAACGTCACATGCCCAAGATGGAACCTCACCCAAGGCCAGCAATGGAACTGAGGAGACCGCTCAATCCCTTGGGAATCATGTGTCAGCTCCTGCCCTTCTTAGTCCGTACAGAGAATTAGTGCAGTTTTATTATTTTGTTCGTTCATGGACTTTGGGTTCCTGTGTTGTGTTGTTTCCATGGAAATGCACTGAGATACCTCAGACCTGCATGGTCAAGTCACAGAACCAGGAGATGCACATGGGAGGGGCCTCCGTTTCCAGAAAGACAGGGGCATGAGTCATTGCGATCACCAGCTCTTGAAGAGAGCGATGGATTTTCATGGCATTTAAACAGTAGCACTTACATAGGGTAGGACTTGAATTTGCATATTTCTGAAATAATATCAAGGCAATTCTGAATCGGGAGGAGCCCTCTTCCCCCTTTGCAGACAAATCCAGGCTGCCTTGGGATACTGATTAATGAATGATTCTTTTTAAACAGAGAGTTTAAGGTCAGAAGGGACCATCAGATCATCTAGTTAGACCAGTCTATCACAGGCCTCTAATACCACCCAGCCACCCACACGCTAAACCCAACATCTGGAATTAGACCAAAGTACTGCAGCCCTCAACAGACTATGCTCTTGTATGCCACAGGCAGAGAATAGGATAAACCGAGGTGCACCATTACCTGAGGCCTGTGCAGTGGCAGAGAATTGATTAGGTGAGATGTACCGATATGGTCCTAGCAAATGACCCCCAAGGGCACTGTCCTGGGAGGAAATTCCTTCCCAACCCCACCCATGGTGATTAGTCCCATTCTGTACTCCTTTATGAGAAATTGTCACATGGATGCTGTCTGTGCACATCTGCCCACTCTGAAATTCCTAGTCTGATTAATGCTAGCCACAGCAGTCTGCCTTAAAGCTTGCCCTGGACCAGTTAGAGCCTCACCCAAAGCCTGGTAAAGTCAATGGGAGTCTCTCCATTGACTCCAGTGAGCTTTGAATCAGGTCCTTCATGCCTTGCCCAGCACACACGTGATGCACACCTAGAGGGAACATTTTTCACACCTTGACTGGCACACCTAGCCGCAGGTAGCACCCAGCTAGGAATTTAAGCGCAGGCAAGAATACAACTTTCTTGCCAAATCAGGGCCCTAATGTGTTGTTTGGCGGTTTAAAAGCCTATTTGCATATCGGAACCCACCCTTTTACCATTGTTAAATGCCCTAAATGTTTGAAAATCTACACCACTCTATGATTTCCTTTGTTCTGGTTATTGCCAAAATTATTAGCCTCCTTTCTCTAGCAGCGTAGATGTGCCTAAAGCATTACAGTAGCAAAGTTGCATATATCAAAACAGAACAAAAGTTCCTGCTACCACAAATCTTACAAACTCTGATCCTGAAATCACCGCTGATGAAATTGGTAGCAGAACCCCCATCAACTTAACTGGGTACGGGATTGGACCTTAAAAGCAAAAATAGTATGTTATGGTTAACACACAGAGCACAGTGGGGGGGGTGTATAATCAACACACATAAGCATTGTGGAACAGGTGGGTGGGAGAATTGGGGGTAATAGATGGGGGATTTGAAAGAGGAGCAAGGAGAATATAGGAGGAAATTTATCCCTGTGCAGAGGGCCAGCGCAAGACTATTTTGAGGAAACACGTACTGGGAGGTTGAGCCAAGCAGACTTGAGCTGGCAGTGGACAAAGGATGCAAAGGGAGCAGTGAAGAAAGAGCTTTGAGCAGAGTATAGGGAGCAGGATGGGATGTGGAAAATCCAATAATCACAACAGGAAAGTCCATTAGAAAACAAAAGTTTTCCCTTTAATCAGAGACTGCTTCTGAGCTGAACTTTCTTACCTGAATAAAATGCTTCCAGCATAATGAACAGAGGGGTCATTTGGTTTTGGGGACGGGCGGGTGTATAAATTCCCAGACTGCAATAAATTAGTCATTGTGATAAGTGGCAGGGCTTTTGTACTACATGTTAATTTAGTGGTTTCCCTGTGTGAGGCATATGCTTCATTAGTATTCAATGAGCCCAGATCCTTTGCAGCTTGAAGTGGATTTCTGATCTGTTGTGTAAAGTGTAAATAATTAACTGTATTATGGAAACACTTGATAATTGTTGAAGGTGAAGACAAGGTGAAGCCTGAAGCCACATTGAGTGTGTTTTGTACAATGTCACACCATTGGGTAAACACACAAGGCTGCCCTTGGCAGACTCAGACAGAGCCAGGACGTGCAATCACTGGAAAGGAAAATCTATCAGTCACTTTCCTCAGTACTTTCAAATACCTTTGTTTTTTTCATTATTTTGAAATGACAGGTGAGAATGGCCGAGGAACAGAAGTGGAGCAGGTGGGCTTGGAGACGACTCAGGATGGCTGAACAGACGGATGCAAAGGAGCCATGTGAGCTTGTGGGCAAACAGCTGGGCGAACCAGGAAGGTTTGCATACGCAGCTCTCTGTGGGATATCTCTGGCTTGCTTGTTTCCTGAAAAGGAGCAAAGGTAGGATGGTGCACAAAGCAGATTTTGTGCAGTAGCTGAGACAGATTCTGATAACAAGCCAATCATGTGCGTGGGATAGATTAGATTATATAGAAAAAGAGCACCAAGCTGGCTCTAGTGGCAGCATGAGGCTGTCCTTCCAAAGGCCAAGGAAGAGGACTCTTAAGTATGCCATGGGGCAGGCAGGTTAAATCAGAGGTTTTAGACCAGCTCCTTTGAGGTGCTGAAGTTTATGGGAATTGAGGTTCCACACAGGTTCAGATCCTTTGCTTTTGAAGGTACATCCCTGATTCAGGAAAGGCCCGAGCCTGTGATCTCTCTGAAATCTTACAGAAAAAAGCTTTCTTGTGAGCTTTCCCCAGTGAAATCTTGCAGGAGTTTGTCACGTCCAAGATAACAGAGGCCTGTATTTTTTCTGATCAAAGAGGTTGCGTTTACCCGGATCCTGCAAAATGCCTATAGATCTTCTCAAAATGAAGAAAATGTGCATCAGCTGGGCATCCATGAAAGAGATTTTGGGTAGAATTTTTGGAAGTGCCCGAGTGACTCGGGCGCTTAAATCTCAAGGCTTGTCTGCACTGGGAAATGTACTGTCATGACTGTGCTACTATGGTTATATTGCTATAGTTATAGGTGTCACTCCTAGTGTGGACGGTCTTTTATTATAAGCATGTGCGCATGGGGTGGAATACCTGTATAACTACAGCACTAGAGTTATTTCCCCACGTAGACAAGCCCTAAGGCATTTAATGAGACTTAAGCTCCTAAATCTCTTTTGAAAATGGCACAAGTCACGTTGGCACTTTTGAAAATTTTACCCTTTCTCCTTACAGTGTCGAATACACCATACAACCGCCAATAAAACATGGAAACAAATCTTCCCTTAAACTCCTGGACCAGGGGTGGCCAACATGCGGCTCTTCAGAAATTAATATGCGGCTCCTTGTCTAGGCACCGACTCTGGGGCTGGAGCTACAGGCGCCAACTTTCCAATGTGCCGGGGGGTGCTCACTGCTCAACCCCTGACTCTGCCACAGGCCCTGCCCCCACTCCACCCCTTCCCCCCCTCCCCTGAGCCTGCCGTGCCCTCGCTCCTCCCACGCCCCCAAGCCTCCTGCACGCCATGAAACAGCTGATTGGGAGGTGCGGGGAAGGAGGGGGAGGTGCGGTGGGGCTGCCAGTGGGCGGGAGGCATGGGGGGGGGGGTGATGGGGGCTGCTGATGTATTACTGTGGCTCTTTGACAATGTACATTGGTAAATTCTGGCTCCTTCTCAGGCTCAGGTTGGCCACCCCTGTCCTGGACTATCGGGCTGCCTCAGTTGTGTCTTTAGATTCTGGGTCAGGACAGCGGGCATTGCATTAACAGAGGTTAACTATTCTTCCCTGTGACCATGCCACTTACTCCCATCCCCATTCGCGGCAACTCACAAGGGGAGCCCATATCCCAGAACGTCAATACAGAGCTTACAAGTCATAAGCATTTCTTTATGTTTGATACCTAGACAATGTTAATTTCTGGCAGGGAAGAAAATGCAGGTCTTGACTTATATTTTCAGCTATTTTAAACCCAATTTCTCTGTGATTCCCACAACCAGAGCCTCTGAAATGTAACAGTATTATTCGTATTGAGTTTGTGCTTCCATAGCGCATTGGAACAGTAAGGAGAGATATACAGCCTAAAATTGATATTAGGGGTTTTCTTGGTTATTTCCTTGACCATATCTACTTTCCTTTACATCTAAAATTTCCTTATGCTTCACTGCAAAGTGAGTCTCTTAACACTGCTGATGCCAAGCCCCAGGCCTACAAAGGTTAATGGTACTGTCCACTCCAGACTGCTTCCTTACCTACACAAAAGGCTGATCATGTTCCGATATCTCTGCTGACTTTTCATTGGTGGTTTGATTTTTGTGTGAACAACTAGAGATCTTTAGAAGTTGAAAGTAAGGCCCGGTGAAAGGCCAAGAAAAATCAATAAAGATCTCTAAAGTGCTTTACATCAGTGGTTCTCAAAGCTGGTCCACCGCTTGTTCAGGGAAAGCCCCTGGCAGGCCAGGCTGGTTTGTTTACCGGCCGCGTCCGCAGGTTCGGCCGATCGCGGCTCCCACTGGCCGCGGTTCGCCGCTCCAGGCCAATGGGGGCTGCGAGAAGGGTGGCCAGCACATCCCTTGGCCCTCGCCACTTCCTGCAGCTCTCATTGTTCTGGAGTGGCAAACTGCGGCCAGTGGGAGCCACGTTCGGCCAAACCTGCGGACGTGGCAGGTAAACAAACCGGCCCGGCCCACCAGGGGCTTTCCCTGAACAAGCGGCAGACCAGCTTTGAGAACCACTGCTTTACATGCATTACATTATGTCTTGCACCACCTTTGTGAAGAATCCAAGTGTTTCGATTTCCTAAAACAGAGAGGGGCACAAACAGGTTAAGTGACTTGTCCTAGGTGACATGAAAGAGCCAGGATTGCAATGCAGCAGTGCTAACTTGTAGTCCTGCACTCTAACATCCAGACCACACTGTCACCTTTAAACAGTGACGTAAAACTTTCGCTTGACAGCCCAGGGCATTTTTTATATCCCTACAAAAAAAAATTTTCTTTGCTTTCACCGTCTTTCTTTAATAAACTGAAGCGGAGAAGCTGAAGACTGGGCCTTGAATGCCTTTTAATCAGCGTTTCAAATCCTACCTGGAGTCTAAAATGAAGGTGACTTAGGAAAGAGGAAATGATAAATGTTTGACTCGTATTGCTTGTGTTGTCATGCAGCGCCTTTAGGATGGAGTTCATTGAAGGCTTGGTGAAATGGCTTGAGTTGTCAGACACCGTCTTGCCTGCCATGACTGCGTTCACCAGCGGTTTGGGTGGCGAGGGCGCAGAAACCTTTGCTCAGATTTTACTGAAGGATCCTGTCTTGGCAAATAATCCAGTCGTCATTACACAAGTAAGTTCATCCCTTCCCCTCTTCCATTGGGCTTGTGGATAAAGGCCTTGTCAGAGCTGCCTGTCTGTTGTTGAAATTCTCTTTCTAGTGTATTGGGCATAGTAAATCCTAATTCTATATGTATTTAAAACAGCAGGTTACCTTCTGTTTAAAAAAAAACAACGGGGGGGAGGGAGGGCGGCGAATAAAGTGACTGACTTTCCACCCCTCCATTCATTCATCTATCCATCCCTATAGTGTGTGAGTGCTAGACATCTGACCTGGCTAGATTCCACTGAATAAGTGATGCCTAGAGTCTTTGATACCTTCTCTGCTTCAAAATGTGCTGTACGCCCAGTGCATAGAGCCCTTCGTTCTAAAGGGAAAACTATTAACCCTTTCACTGCTACCATACTACTGCTGCTCTGTCCTCCTCCTCCCCATCTACATTTGACTGAAATCAGTGGAACACTTAAGGCAGGTCTACACTTTAGTGAAGACACAACTTCGCCACCCAGGAGAGCTTCTCCCATGGGCATAGTTAATCCGCCTCTGCAACATACTTATACCAATGTGAGTTTGTAGTGTAGACCTGGCCTCTGCAACATACTTATACCAATGTGAGTTTGTAGTGTAGACCCGGCCTCTGCAACATACTTATACCAATGTGAGTTTGTAGTGTAGACCTGGCCTCTGCAACATACTTATACCAATGTGAGTTTGTAGTGTAGACCCAGCCTTAGACATAATGGGCCTGATTCGCATTTACACTTAGGCCCCTTTACTCAGCTCAGGCAGTGTAAAGCGTCTTAAAGGAAGCATTCATACCTACTTTAAGGCGATGTCTACACTACCGCCTGTGGCAGCATAACTTATGTCGCTCAGGGGTGTACAACAGAGACTCTTCTTGAGTGTCCAGGGACTTTGTGTCTTTGGTTCAAAGAGAACAGTAGAATATAGGAGTCTTAGCTACTGATTCTCTCGGTGTTTCTGAGACAAGGTTTAGAGTAGTTGTATTTCCTCACTGGAAGAACAGCTGAACTTGTTGAAATAGGCTTGGGCTACACTAGCGGGGGGGTTCAAACTAAGACATGCAACTTCAACTACGCTATTCACGTAGCTGAAATCGAAGTATCTTAGTTCGACTTACCTGGCTGTTCTCACGGCGGCGAGTCGACTGCCGCGGCTCCCCCATCGACTCCGCTTACTCCTCCTGCCAAGGTGGAGTACGGGCGTCGATTTGCGGATCGATTTATCGCATCCAGACGAGACGCGATCCCTGATCCCGGCAGGTAGTATAGACGTACCCATAGCTCACATGAGGAATTATATAGGGAAAAGGTCACTATAGGTTGATGCACCTGAGGCTTTTTCTGATGTAGTTGGCAAAACACTTTGGTGGGTGGGAGCCACCATATACTCAAACTGAGATCAGCGTTTCCTTGTGACTTGAAGGTAAATAATCTAAGAGACAAACCTTTGACTGCTTTTATCCAGCCATTCTGTGCTTTCCGGTTGTCTCTGTATCCTGCACGTACTCACTTCACTTTTATGATTTGTTTGATTGAGTTCTGATAACCATAGACTTCTGGAATTCAGTGACAAGTTCCTGTTAGTGCTACGGCATGTGCTTTTTTTAAGATTGTTGCTTGATAATTGTTCTGCAACGATGCTGAAGGAATGATTCATGAAGGCAGGTAGCTGAGTGGTTTATGGGGATGTACAGAAGTACTTCTTTTTACCTTCTGTTGCACATTGGGCACAGTCTGCCCAGGGCTGAGATTTTCTTTTCTTTGTTGTGAAGTGGCAGGGAGGACTGAACATAAGTCATATCTTGATGCTTGTAAAGACACATGTTCTTGTGGATATTACAGATTAAAGGCCATCTTCTGCTGTCGGTTCTGAATGCTGTATTTTTCTCCCAGTCTAATTTTCTTACACTTCTGCTTTTAAATTCCCAACCCTCTGATGTCTCTCCCCATTCCTTGAATCTGAGAGGAGAGAGGCTGATTCTTATCAATGTCGTTGGCACTCTTCCCCATCTTCACGGTGTATCTTAAGCAGAATCTGTTGATTGAGTGAAATCTTGACGATTATGGCTATTATTTATGTTCATTTCGAGCGACTAATGCAGTTGAGTGTTGGTAAGCTGAATCTTTTAAGGACTGTTAGCTCTGGCAAGTAAGACAGCAGCAACGCTATGAATGGAGATTGCTTTGCACACATAAAGCAGCTCGGTAAAAATAAACCGTCAATGAAATCTAGTAAACTCTCTCTTGGAATGTATTTAAATAATCTTGTTGTTGTAAGGAACTTAAAGTTGCTAGTAAACTTTTTAAAGAGGGAGTTATTAAAGGTGACCTGAAGAAAGGGCAAAATTGAGCTTGTGCCCTTTTTTGTTTCTTTTTGGCAAGTAAAGAAGAGCTGAAAGCTTGTTACTTCTGCTTGACTTTTGGTTTAGAAATATCTAAAATGTCTGTTTTACCCTGTTTTTCTTCAAGAGACCTCCCTTGGGTGACCCTGAAATGTGAATTAAAAGCTCTCTGTTGTTGGGGAAAGGGTGTTGAATCTTTAACAAAACAACTTTTCTTCCAGCTGTTTATTGGGGTTTTGGGTTAAATAAGTTTTAACAAAAATATACAAAATCCAAAGAGTTGAATAAAAATCACTTCCCTTTCTTCATCGGTTTTCACAAGTTTGGCATCTGTGGTGTCACAAAACTACTAGGTCTCTAGTTCAGTGGCTCTCAAGCAGGGGTACATAGAGATCTTCCAAGGGAGTATAGCCTCTCATCTAGATATTTGCCTAGTTTTACAACAGGCTACATAAAAAACACTAGCCAAGTCAGTACAAACTAAGATTTCATACAGCCAATGACTTGTTTATACTGCTCTATATACTGTACCCTGAAATGTAAGTACAATATTTATATCCAGTCGATTTATTTAATAATTATATGGTAAAAATAAGAACATAAGCAATTTTTCGGTAGTAGTGTGTTATGACACTTTCGTATTTTTATATCTGATATTGTAAGCAAGTAGTTTTTGAGTGAGGTGAAACTTGAGGGCACACAAGACAAATCAGACTTCTGCAAGGGGTACAGTACTCTGGAAAGGTTGAGAACCACTGCTCTAATTGTCCGTAGAGTTTTACAGGAGAAGCAGGATGTGAATTTCAAATGTAAAAAACAAGCAGTTATAAGACTGTTTAAAAGAGCCTCTCATGCCAACTTCGTACATCATAAAGAAGCAAACAAGAGCACAAAGCCAATTTCATTTTTCTTTTGTAGATCATCTAAACAAAACTGCTGATGAGACAGGGAGAGAAAGAACAGACTATTATTTTTGATCTAAACTAATCGATACTTGTTTTGTTCCAGTTGACAGCACACCCAAGTGTAGTTCGAAGTCTGAGACAATTAGAAACAGGTGGGCACACCTATAGCATCTAATATAAGCATTAGCCCCAGTTTGTCAGTCAGTCGGAATATCTGCAACCACCTTTCAGCTTTTGAGACCTGCTTCAGTCCTCTAAACTCACAGGCCAACAGTTTCAAAAATGAGTGCCTGGAGTTAAGCTCCATATTTAGCCACCTAAATAAGTGGCCTTAGTTTAAAAAACGCTGAGCCTCCCACAACTCCCATTGAAGCCACTTCTGCCAATTGAATGTGCTTCCCATTTAGGTCAAACCTATCAAGAATTGTTATCCCGCAACAATCTCCCCAAGAGTTTGCTGCCCAAGTCCTTCTCTTTTCTGGGTCAGCGGGTAACATCCACTTGGAAATGATGGCTGGGAACAATGTTGATCATTCACTTAAATTATGTGTAAAGATTTTAAAGTAAATTGACGCCTGTTTGCCTGTTCTTCCGTGAAAGACTTTTCCCCGGTCTGTTTATTCCTGCAGGGGTGGCAGAACTAGGAAACGCTGTGGGGTGGCTCCACTCCTGCATAAACTCATGCATGTCTGGGGTAGGAGAGAGCATGACCCAGAAGGGTTAGAGTGGCCGCTTTGGGGTCCGGGATTAGGCTGGGGAGCAGGAAGAGGGACCTTGGGGGTCTGGAACATCTCAAAAACGGGTATGAACACCGGGAATCCTCCTTCCCAGGCTGGAGCCATCTGCCCTTCCTCTCCAAGTCTCAGTATCTCCCGTCACTTCCTTCTTATCCCTCAGCCCCCCTAGCTGCAAGAAGTTCCTCCATCTGCATTCATGTAACTGATTTGCACATCTGAATTATACAGCAGAACCTTCACCATCTGGGAATAATATTACAGAGTCCAAGGAGTTACACTGGGTTTGGGAGTATCTATATTTTCCCCCTCTTGCATTAGCAATTGGCTAAGAGCAGCTCACTCACCATTTCAGATTTCCCGTACTCAGGAGTGGAAAGAGGGTTGGAAGAGTTTCTAGGACACAAATAATGCGTAGGCGCAGGGGGACTAATAATCATAAACTCCCTGGCAGCATCCTGGTTCTTCAGCATCCTGGTTCTTCAGCTGTGCTCTTCATTTCCAAAGCGATTCCAGATTTTCCCTATAAACATGCACATGTCTGGCTTTTCTTCACAATGTCTTCCTGGTGGGCAAGAGAGAGGCTTTTCGACTGACTTCGTGCTTTTTTTTTTTTCCCGCCCCCAACATAAACAAC